GTGTGTGTGTGTGTGTGTGTGTGTGTGTGTGTGTGTGTGTGTGTGTGTGTGTGTGTGTGTGTGTGTGTGTGTGTGTGTGTGTGTGTGTGTGTGTGTGTGTGTGTGTGTGTGTGTGTGTGTGTGTGTGTGTGTGTGTGTGTGTGTGTGTGTGTGTGTGTGTGTGTGTGTGTGTGTGTGTGTGTGTGTGTGTGTGTGTGTGTGTGTGTGTGTGTGTGTGTGTGTGTGTGTGTGTGTGTGTGTGTGTGTGTGTGTGTGTGTGTGTGTGTGTGTGTGTGTGTGTGTGTGTGTGTGTGTGTGTGTGTGTGTGTGTGTGTGTGTGTGTGTGTGTGTGTGTGTGTGTGTGTGTGTGTGTGTGTGTGTGTGTGTGTGTGTGTGTGTGTGTGTGTGTGTGTGTGTGTGTGTGTGTGTGTGTGTGTGTGTGTGTGTGTGTGTGTGTGTGTGTGTGTGTGTGTGTGTGTGTGTGTGTGTGTGTGTGTGTGTGTGTGTGTGTGTGTGTGTGTGTGTGTGTGTGTGTGTGTGTGTGTGTGTGTGTGTGTGTGTGTGTGTGTGTGTGTGTGTGTGTGTGTGTGTGTGTGTGTGTGTGTGTGTGTGTGTGTGTGTGTGTGTGTGTGTGTGTGTGTGTGTGTGTGTGTGTGTGTGTGTGTGTGTGTGTGTGTGTGTGTGTGTGTGTGTGTGTGTGTGTGTGTGTGTGTGTGTGTGTGTGTGTGTGTGTGTGTGTGTGTGTGTGTGTGTGTGTGTGTGTGTGTGTGTGTGTGTGTGTGTGTGTGTGTGTGTGTGTGTGTGTGTGTGTGTGTGTGTGTGTGTGTGTGTGTGTGTGTGTGTGTGTGTGTGTGTGTGTGTGTGTGTGTGTGTGTGTGTGTGTGTGTGTGTGTGTGTGTGTGTGTGTGTGTGTGTGTGTGTGTGTGTGTGTGTGTGTGTGTGTGTGTGTGTGTGTGTGTGTGTGTGTGTGTGTGTGTGTGTGTGTGTGTGTGTGTGTGTGTGTGTGTGTGTGTGTGTGTGTGTGTGTGTGTGTGTGTGTGTGTGTGTGTGTGTGTGTGTGTGTGTGTGTGTGTGTGTGTGTGTGTGTGTGTGTGTGTGTGTGTGTGTGTGTGTGTGTGTGTGTGTGTGTGTGTGTGTGTGTGTGTGTGTGTGTGTGTGTGTGTGTGTGTGTGTGTGTGTGTGTGTGTGTGTGTGTGTGTGTGTGTGTGTGTGTGTGTGTGTGTGTGTGTGTGTGTGTGTGTGTGTGTGTGTGTGTGTGTGTGTGTGTGTGTGTGTGTGTGTGTGTGTGTGTGTGTGTGTGTGTGTGTGTGTGTGTGTGTGTGTGTGTGTGTGTGTGTGTGTGTGTGTGTGTGTGTGTGTGTGTGTGTGTGTGTGTGTGTGTGTGTGTGTGTGTGTGTGTGTGTGTGTGTGTGTGTGTGTGTGTGTGTGTGTGTGTGTGTGTGTGTGTGTGTGTGTGTGTGTGTGTGTGTGTGTGTGTGTGTGTGTGTGTGTGTGTGTGTGTGTGTGTGTGTGTGTGTGTGTGTGTGTGTGTGTGTGTGTGTGTGTGTGTGTGTGTGTGTGTGTGTGTGTGTGTGTGTGTGTGTGTGTGTGTGTGTGTGTGTGTGTGTGTGTGTGTGTGTGTGTGTGTGTGTGTGTGTGTGTGTGTGTGTGTGTGTGTGTGTGTGTGTGTGTGTGTGTGTGTGTGTGTGTGTGTGTGTGTGTGTGTGTGTGTGTGTGTGTGTGTGTGTGTGTGTGTGTGTGTGTGTGTGTGTGTGTGTGTGTGTGTGTGTGTGTGTGTGTGTGTGTGTGTGTGTGTGTGTGTGTGTGTGTGTGTGTGTGTGTGTGTGTGTGTGTGTGTGTGTGTGTGTGTGTGTGTGTGTGTGTGTGTGTGTGTGTGTGTGTGTGTGTGTGTGTGTGTGTGTGTGTGTGTGTGTGTGTGTGTGTGTGTGTGTGTGTGTGTGTGTGTGTGTGTGTGTGTGTGTGTGTGTGTGTGTGTGTGTGTGTGTGTGTGTGTGTGTGTGTGTGTGTGTGTGTGTGTGTGTGTGTGTGTGTGTGTGTGTGTGTGTGTGTGTGTGTGTGTGTGTGTGTGTGTGTGTGTGTGTGTGTGTGTGTGTGTGTGTGTGTGTGTGTGTGTGTGTGTGTGTGTGTGTGTGTGTGTGTGTGTGTGTGTGTGTGTGTGTGTGTGTGTGTGTGTGTGTGTGTGTGTGTGTGTGTGTGTGTGTGTGTGTGTGTGTGTGTGTGTGTGTGTGTGTGTGTGTGTGTGTGTGTGTGTGTGTGTGTGTGTGTGTGTGTGTGTGTGTGTGTGTGTGTGTGTGTGTGTGTGTGTGTGTGTGTGTGTGTGTGTGTGTGTGTGTGTGTGTGTGTGTGTGTGTGTGTGTGTGTGTGTGTGTGTGTGTGTGTGTGTGTGTGTGTGTGTGTGTGTGTGTGTGTGTGTGTGTGTGTGTGTGTGTGTGTGTGTGTGTGTGTGTGTGTGTGTGTGTGTGTGTGTGTGTGTGTGTGTGTGTGTGTGTGTGTGTGTGTGTGTGTGTGTGTGTGTGTGTGTGTGTGTGTGTGTGTGTGTGTGTGTGTGTGTGTGTGTGTGTGTGTGTGTGTGTGTGTGTGTGTGTGTGTGTGTGTGTGTGTGTGTGTGTGTGTGTGTGTGTGTGTGTGTGTGTGTGTGTGTGTGTGTGTGTGTGTGTGTGTGTGTGTGTGTGTGTGTGTGTGTGTGTGTGTGTGTGTGTGTGTGTGTGTGTGTGTGTGTGTGTGTGTGTGTGTGTGTGTGTGTGTGTGTGTGTGTGTGTGTGTGTGTGTGTGTGTGTGTGTGTGTGTGTGTGTGTGTGTGTGTGTGTGTGTGTGTGTGTGTGTGTGTGTGTGTGTGTGTGTGTGTGTGTGTGTGTGTGTGTGTGTGTGTGTGTGTGTGTGTGTGTGTGTGTGTGTGTGTGTGTGTGTGTGTGTGTGTGTGTGTGTGTGTGTGTGTGTGTGTGTGTGTGTGTGTGTGTGTGTGTGTGTGTGTGTGTGTGTGTGTGTGTGTGTGTGTGTGTGTGTGTGTGTGTGTGTGTGTGTGTGTGTGTGTGTGTGTGTGTGTGTGTGTGTGTGTGTGTGTGTGTGTGTGTGTGTGTGTGTGTGTGTGTGTGTGTGTGTGTGTGTGTGTGTGTGTGTGTGTGTGTGTGTGTGTGTGTGTGTGTGTGTGTGTGTGTGTGTGTGTGTGTGTGTGTGTGTGTGTGTGTGTGTGTGTGTGTGTGTGTGTGTGTGTGTGTGTGTGTGTGTGTGTGTGTGTGTGTGTGTGTGTGTGTGTGTGTGTGTGTGTGTGTGTGTGTGTGTGTGTGTGTGTGTGTGTGTGTGTGTGTGTGTGTGTGTGTGTGTGTGTGTGTGTGTGTGTGTGTGTGTGTGTGTGTGTGTGTGTGTGTGTGTGTGTGTGTGTGTGTGTGTGTGTGTGTGTGTGTGTGTGTGTGTGTGTGTGTGTGTGTGTGTGTGTGTGTGTGTGTGTGTGTGTGTGTGTGTGTGTGTGTGTGTGTGTGTGTGTGTGTGTGTGTGTGTGTGTGTGTGTGTGTGTGTGTGTGTGTGTGTGTGTGTGTGTGTGTGTGTGTGTGTGTGTGTGTGTGTGTGTGTGTGTGTGTGTGTGTGTGTGTGTGTGTGTGTGTGTGTGTGTGTGTGTGTGTGTGTGTGTGTGTGTGTGTGTGTGTGTGTGTGTGTGTGTGTGTGTGTGTGTGTGTGTGTGTGTGTGTGTGTGTGTGTGTGTGTGTGTGTGTGTGTGTGTGTGTGTGTGTGTGTGTGTGTGTGTGTGTGTGTGTGTGTGTGTGTGTGTGTGTGTGTGTGTGTGTGTGTGTGTGTGTGTGTGTGTGTGTGTGTGTGTGTGTGTGTGTGTGTGTGTGTGTGTGTGTGTGTGTGTGTGTGTGTGTGTGTGTGTGTGTGTGTGTGTGTGTGTGTGTGTGTGTGTGTGTGTGTGTGTGTGTGTGTGTGTGTGTGTGTGTGTGTGTGTGTGTGTGTGTGTGTGTGTGTGTGTGTGTGTGTGTGTGTGTGTGTGTGTGTGTGTGTGTGTGTGTGTGTGTGTGTGTGTGTGTGTGTGTGTGTGTGTGTGTGTGTGTGTGTGTGTGTGTGTGTGTGTGTGTGTGTGTGTGTGTGTGTGTGTGTGTGTGTGTGTGTGTGTGTGTGTGTGTGTGTGTGTGTGTGTGTGTGTGTGTGTGTGTGTGTGTGTGTGTGTGTGTGTGTGTGTGTGTGTGTGTGTGTGTGTGTGTGTGTGTGTGTGTGTGTGTGTGTGTGTGTGTGTGTGTGTGTGTGTGTGTGTGTGTGTGTGTGTGTGTGTGTGTGTGTGTGTGTGTGTGTGTGTGTGTGTGTGTGTGTGTGTGTGTGTGTGTGTGTGTGTGTGTGTGTGTGTGTGTGTGTGTGTGTGTGTGTGTGTGTGTGTGTGTGTGTGTGTGTGTGTGTGTGTGTGTGTGTGTGTGTGTGTGTGTGTGTGTGTGTGTGTGTGTGTGTGTGTGTGTGTGTGTGTGTGTGTGTGTGTGTGTGTGTGTGTGTGTGTGTGTGTGTGTGTGTGTGTGTGTGTGTGTGTGTGTGTGTGTGTGTGTGTGTGTGTGTGTGTGTGTGTGTGTGTGTGTGTGTGTGTGTGTGTGTGTGTGTGTGTGTGTGTGTGTGTGTGTGTGTGTGTGTGTGTGTGTGTGTGTGTGTGTGTGTGTGTGTGTGTGTGTGTGTGTGTGTGTGTGTGTGTGTGTGTGTGTGTGTGTGTGTGTGTGTGTGTGTGTGTGTGTGTGTGTGTGTGTGTGTGTGTGTGTGTGTGTGTGTGTGTGTGTGTGTGTGTGTGTGTGTGTGTGTGTGTGTGTGTGTGTGTGTGTGTGTGTGTGTGTGTGTGTGTGTGTGTGTGTGTGTGTGTGTGTGTGTGTGTGTGTGTGTGTGTGTGTGTGTGTGTGTGTGTGTGTGTGTGTGTGTGTGTGTGTGTGTGTGTGTGTGTGTGTGTGTGTGTGTGTGTGTGTGTGTGTGTGTGTGTGTGTGTGTGTGTGTGTGTGTGTGTGTGTGTGTGTGTGTGTGTGTGTGTGTGTGTGTGTGTGTGTGTGTGTGTGTGTGTGTGTGTGTGTGTGTGTGTGTGTGTGTGTGTGAATATGATAAAATGTCAGACAAATTTGGCTGAGTAGAAATAGTGGTGGTACAAGAATCATCCATATCATCTTCTGATAGAAACGTAGGGAGGGAGCCATGGAAGGCCCTAAGCCAATGAGATCGATTGGGTAAGACCTAAAGGAGCCGAGATGCAAGGGAAGCCATTTGAAGGAGAAGACATTGGGGCTCCTGGTTGAGGAGCTGGAGAGCGAGCCAGATGTCCAGCATGGCGTAGCCGGAACTGGCGATTTCAGGCGAAGCCGCCGTGTCCGCGCCGATGAGAGTGCGAGTGAAGAAGCTGAAGATGAACGGTTGTATCGGGACGAGGCAGCATGGCGTAGCCGGACTTGGCCGAGGTCGGCGGCGGTGGCTGCCGCGATGGGCAAGAAGGCCGAGGAGGATCAGTTAATGATGACATGGCAAACATTATAGTTGCTCAGCTTCTCTATCTCGATGCTGTTGATCCTAACAAGGATATTGTCATGTATGTGAACTCTCCAGGAGGATCAGTTACAGCTGGTATGGCCATATTTGACACCATGAGGCATATAAGACCTGATGTTTCCACTGTATGCGTCGGACTAGCTGCTAGCATGGGAGCTTTCTTACTTAGCTCCGTGGGCGATGTAGAGAGAGAGACCCAGCTAGAGAGTTGCAGGCTGTTTGTGTATGTTGCAGAGAGAGAAGAGGGAGATGGGTTGTTGTTGTTGTTGGTAGAGAGAGAAAGCTGGGTTGTTGTTGTTGCTGGGTTGTTGTTGATTATTGTCCTTAGAAACCCCAAGTGAGGTATACGGGGCAGAGGTGTAAGAACAGAATTTTGGAGCAGAACAGGGCTCTTAGGAGTTGGTTACCTTTGGAGTCTCAATTTCCGGCGGGTAGAGAGAGAAGAATGAGGAAGAGAACGGTGCTGCTGCGGCTGCCGTTGCCGACTTGGACGACGCCGATGGAGGTGATGATTTTACAGAGTGAGGTTGCAGAGACCAAGGTGAAAGGAGAGGAGGTATGTGTTGGAGGTTTCAATTGGCACGGTTGGGGTCCGGCGGGCGGTGAAGGCAAGGTTGCCGCCCGCCGGAAGGTGAAGATCACCTAGAGCTAACCTATAGCTCTGATACCATGTTAAAATAAATTGATGTATATTATTGATTGATGTATTACAAGATTGTTGTATTTCTATGTTTACAAGAGAATTAGGTCTCTCTCTTTATAGAGAGCAGAAGGATACAATGGAGTACGAAGCCATAAGGTAATATATTACAATAATATAAAAGTGGAATCTAAAGCTGAAAGTGGTAGTGGGTGTTGGCTTTACAGCTCCTAATGCACTGTGATGTACATTTACAGCTACTAAGGCATTATATGAAAGTATATTATATGTTAACAATAACTAATTTTGAAATTGTTAATAAATATACCAAACAAATATGTATATATTTCTGATTTTTGTTATAAATCTTTTTTAAAAATATATTTACTAATCAAAAATTAAATAAATAGGTAGGTCTATTAACTCATGGATTGGACATGAACTAGACGATTCTCTAAGGACTAGGCTTAAATCAAGAATTATTAACAAAAAAAAATCGACTTGAACTAAATTTTCTTGGCTACTTTTTAGTGTTTAATCCAATATTAAAACCCCCAAATTAGCTCATATCAGTCATGAACTAATAAATTATGATATAATTTAAATATAAAATTTAAATTTATTAGGACTAAAATATGACCTACAATTTAGGGTGGCTTTATCTTAAATAATTTTTTTATACATAAATATATATAACTATTCATTTAATTGTTTTAAACATAAATATATAGTTTTTTAAAAAAAAACTATAATTCAAACTTTTTAATTTCAATCTTTTTAATAAGTATGTATAAAATAAGTCCATATTTCTTATTTTTATTATAAAAAAATATTTACAAATATTTATTTACTAATTTAATAAATAAATAGGTCAAATGGTTTATATAAGTTGGGAATACAACAAGACAATTTTTAATGATTAGGTAAAGGACAAGTTGGCATAAATCTAATGTTAAGTCCAAATTTAATATCACAAGTGAATCTTAATTCATTTTTACATAAATCTTATAACATAAGGCAAATTATAATTTTTAGACTTCACAGAATATGAAAACATTATTATATTGACAAATATAATTTACAACTATCATATGATAAATTAAATTTACGAAACTCATAAGACGAAATGTATTTATATTTTATCATAAATATAATTTTTGTGATTTAATTTTTGATTTTTACCACTTAAATTATGACATATATTTGTTATTAAGAACTTAGAGCACATAATTAATGACATAACAATAAAAAAAAATCTTTTATATATAACTGTGATAAAAATGAATAAAATTTAATTGATTCTAAATTATTTTTGCTAAATATTGTAGATAAATTTTTTAGAATATTATGTAATTTTAAAATTTAATTTTTGATTATTTATTTATACCCATGCATAGTAAGGGTAATTATGCTAGTACTATACTATATATAAGCAAATGTAGTGGGCGCTTAAAATTCTCCAAAATTTTAATACTAATATCTTAGGGGTTCTCTCTCTTAATTATGTGCTACTTCCTGGAGTCTCTCCACCTCATTTTCTTATTTTTTAATTTTTTAATATAATAAAAACAATCATTCTACCTTTTCACCTATGCTAAATAAAATTGAATAAAAGAAAAAAATATAACCTAAAGATAAAAAGAAAAAATGAAGAAGCAAAAAATAAAACGATAAAATCCAACATAATGAAAGGACAAAATCCCACATAGTTATCCGTTATCTCTCTCTAAAGCAAACTTAAAAAATAATAACAATAATAATCAAGAGATAAAAAATAAATAAATAAAAAAGAAACAAAAAATTATCCTTATCTCTTTACTAAAAAACTTTAAAAAATAATAATAATAACAAAAAATATAAGGAGAAAAATCCCATATAATTATTCTTATCTCTCTTCGAAAAAAATTAAAAAAAAAATCTTCTCTCACGTTTTATTCCGTCTCCATAAATAGTTGTATTATTCTCACTAAAATATAACTAAAAAGGGTGAAGAAAAAAGCTCACAACCCTTGTACATGCTCTTTTTTACAACAACATGAATACTTCTTTTTATCTTTTTAAACAAACCCAAACTGAAGACTTGTTCATCTACAATTTACTCACTAAAATTCTAAAGGTTTAATTGTCTTTTACTTTTGTTTTCATTAATTAATCCATAGATAAGTTAAAAGATGAATTCTTTTTCTTCTTCTATGACATTTTTTAATTGTGTGTTTTATATTTTTATTTTGTGTTAATATTAAATCACTTTTTAAAGATTATGTTGGAACAATCTTCTGTGTAAATAAAATAACTTGAAATAAATTCAAACAAAATAAATAAATAACATACCAGATTTATGTATCGAACCGAATTAAAAATTCAAAGACCAAGTCGAGTGTGTGACACTCTGTCCTTAAGACAGATTCGCCCTTCTACGGTACTTACGGTTGAGTGGCGTCTATCTCCCAGGATACAATGATCTTCACAAATTGTAGTAGTACTCCAAACAATTTGTTCGGCGAATCAAACCTATGTTCTAATACTCTATATAATTCTAAAACTAGAATGTAGAATAATGCAAACAAAACAAAGTTTGGACAGCAAAACAAATGATTTTACAGACTGATTTTTTTCGGCCACGAAATTGCTGGATTTATGGCAGTATATATAGGCAACCAAGAGTTAGTTGGAGCCCGAACAGGTACAACACAAAGAAGTGAAAAGGTGCACTTTTCAACTCAAATAAAGTTGACCGTTAGCAATTTGAAAACAAATTTGAAAAGTTTCCGTTGGTCAAACAAAACTGTTTGGAATTCAAATCTGTTTCACCTTTATTAAATAAACTATTTTGAATATATATATATATATATATTAAACAAATTGAATAGTTTAATAAATAAAATAAGAGGTACAAATTTTAGGAAATCACTTAGGAACCCAAATCAAAGGAACTGTTGGTACTTTATTATTTAAACTATTTAAAATATATGTATATTAAACTATTTGAATAAATATATATAAAACTATTGAAATAGTTTAATAAATAAAGGAAGAGGTACAAACTTTAGGAAACCACTTAGAAACTCAAAATTTGAATTTAGAATTAAATTAAATTCCCACAATAATTTTTATTGAAAAAATTCAAAAGAATTTTTATCTAAAAAATTAATGTTAAACCCGAAAACGACGTCAACTTTCCATTCACTCATAAATGGTTTTGACGTTCTGTCTTCACCGTGTGACTTGCCACGCAGCAAGGAACACATCACCTCTTCGGACCCACCCCAAAAGACGTTTGGGGCCCACTCAATTTTGGCCTCAAAGTTGGCCCAAAATAAGCCATATAAAACACCATTATCCAACAATCCCCTACATGAATGGAATTTGACGGAGAGAAGAGAAAATGCAACAATATGATCTATTACAGAGAGTATAGAAATTGAAAATATTCTACAAAGGATAGATAACTTTTGGCTTTGAACCTTCCCTTGTGAGACACTATCGGATTTACTAGCTAACCAGTGAATATGATGTCTTGAACTGTTCAGCCGTTTGTGTAAACCAAGACAATAGAACTCACACAGTATATCTCCAGACATAGTTTAGCTCTCACTATTGTGTTCATTTTGGCCCTGAACAACTTGGTATTTCATAAGTGCTCTAGAGAATTGTAGCCCTTCACAAATCTCATAGAACCGGCTCAGTTCACACTCATATAGGTGATTCTTATGAAGAGTATCCTGCCATACTCCACTAGGTTTACCTAGATATAAGAATCATTAAAATTTTACTTAACCTCAAACGCTGCAGACATCATTATTTCATCAAAGAAATGAGTAGGAGTTAGACTCCCCAGTGATCCTTCTGCATCATTCATAACTCGGTTGTCCCTTTGAACCTAGATCTTGGGATCTCCAGTCAATTAGGTTGGGTTGCCGTTGTGGTAACTCTTATTTAATAGGCTTAAGTCCCATTCCCCTCGATGAATTCTCAACTAACTTTCTTGTTAACCCTTTGGTTAGTGGATCCGCTACTTTGTCTTTAGACTTAACATATTCTATGGACATAATTCCATTACAGAGTAGTTGTCTTACGGTATTATGTCGACGACGAATGTGTCGAGACTTATCGTTATACATATGACTTTGTGCTCTACGAATTGCTGATTGACTATCACAATGTATGCATATAGCAGGCACCGGTTTTGGCCATATTGGAATATCTTCAAGGAAGTAGCGAAGCCATTCTGCCTCTTCCCGTACTTTGTCTAAAGTTATGAATTTTGATTCCATAGTAGACCTAGCAATGCAAGTTTTTTTGGAAGATTTCCAAGATACAGCGGCCCCACCAAGAGTAAAGACATACCCACTAGTGGACTTTGAGTCTCTTGTATCCGATATCCAATTTGCATCACAGTATCCTTCAAGTACTGCTGGATATCTAGTATAATTAAGCCCAATGTTACGAGTAAATCAGAGATATCTAAGAACCCTTATAATTGCTTTCCAGTGTTCTACTCCTGGATTACTCGTATATCTACTTAATTTATTTACTGCATAAGCTATATCTGGGGAAATGCAGTTCATCAAGTACATTAAGCTTCCAATAATTTGGGCATACTCTAATTGAGAAATACTTTCCTGTACATTCTTAGAAAGATACAAATTAACATCTACAGGTGTTCTAGCAAGATGATCATCATATTTGCTAAATTTGTCAAGTATTTTCTCAATGTAATGAGATTGTGACAAAGCGTATCCTTCTGATGTTTTGGTAATTTTCATACTGTAGACATCCCTGAACGTCCCGGGAGGGAGATCCCGTTTTGTTCATATGGGCTCACTACAGTTCGGACTCAAAAGTCACTGTCCTGTATCTAATCTCGCGGAGTGCAATGCAAGATCGATGAGTCATCAAAGAGTCCAAATCCGGCAAATCATTTTGGAAAACAGATTTTTTTTAGAAAGAAGTGCCAAACATGGACTGTTTTTTCAGATACAAAGTCGCCACCTAAATATTTATTTTGGGGGGATTTAGGAAACCCTGACTCATTGCCTAAGGCCACGTGTCCGTCATCACCAAAGTTGC